GTATAATCTTATGTCTTCTTTAACGAATCACTTCTCTTTATCCCAAAATTTATATGTGAATACATAGATGAGAGACTTACTACATATAGTGTCTCATTTCATTTTTCTCCATGTAAGGGTTAGGGAAAATAATTAACTTGCCTAAGGTCACTAGCTAGAAGGTGATAGATTCATGATTCACTGCAAAATGTTTCACTAAAGCACAATGACTCATTCTAATTTGGGTATGCAGTGAAATAATTCATGAAGATCTCATTTTTCTTCCTTTGGAGCTGGTTACTTGAAACTTCTTACTACTAAGGTCTTCCCTAGACAAAAATAAGAAGGTTGAAAAAGTTGTCCTTCCCTGATTTCTTCAATGCCAGCTGTCCCTGTCCTTAACCCATGAAAGGTTAACACCTTTATAAGCAGCTGTCCTCATCCAGGTAATTCCGTCACTAGGATTCTTTATTTTTTTTCCCCTATCAATCTGTATTTGGTGTTTGTCCCATTCCTAGTATTCTTACTCTCAGAAACAAGTTAATTTGATCCATTCATCCTTGTGTGGTAACTCTTGGGTAGCGATTAGTGTTAGTGCTGCTTCACTATGCCTGGAACATTCTGGAGACATAGCTTCAACCTAGAAGAGCAATGACTGAGAGTCAAGTGGTCTCTGGGAATTATGGCAAGAAGATGTGGACTTGGCAAACTTCCAGGCACACTGATTCTTTTCTAAAGACATTTACGTCTGCTTGACTTAAATGAATAGTATTTAACAGGCCTGGTCATCTACAGTTGTTGGGTAGACCCCCATTTTTCAATGTAATATTGAAATTCAGGTGACTGTCGAAAGATTTAGAAAATTTCTAAGAGGACAAATAGCTCTTGAGTCAGGCTTTTTGTTTCCCTGTTGTGGGTTTCTCATGTTATCTGAACGGTGAAGATTCTGTCAGATCATTGGGTTTTTAACAAGATAGATAAATTATTACTGCTTACAAAAAATAGTTGGAATGGAAGCATTGGATTCCAGGATTCCATTTTAAGCCCACTAAAACATCACATTAGTTCAGCTCTGGGGTCACTCCATCTAGAAGCAAGAGATGTGGCAGTGCTGCTGCGTGTGTCTCAGATGAGTTTGAAAGTGGTTGGTTTTGTAAAGCTACCAAGAAATAAGGGTAAGGGGAGGAAAAGAGAATCACACACTACCTGTCAAACAATCTTCTTGAGCCTTTCACTCGTAACCGTCCCACTGAGCCAGTAGGGATTTTCTCATGTCACTTGCTACAATGCAGCCAAAGCTTCCCTTGCTTGTCTCCAACCCACAGGGAGCCTCCAGGGAGTGACTATTTCACCTCCTCGAGTCAAAGACACAAGATTACCCATCTCTCTCCTGTGCTTCTTGTCAGGCTGCTCGCCTCTTACAGTCTTACTTTAAACCCTATTAATCAGCACCTCTGAAAGGCCCCATTACTGAGAATATTGAAAGTATGACAGGATAATACACTGGGAAATGCACTGTGGGGACTATTAGAATCCTGGCAGGACTAAATGACCTAAAGTCATCTCTCTCGCTAGTGGTGCTTTGATTAATTAGCCCCATTTCTCAGAAGCTGTGATTCCAGTGTTCCCTCTGCACAGAAGTTTGTGAGTAGACACCTCAGAAGAGAAGTTTGTTCCCCTAACTGGTGCTCTTTGCTGTAGGGGTGTCCTTACCCAAGCACCGCAGTCATTTGATGAACACATGTTATCGCACACCAGACGTGGTGCCTGGGGCTGGTGAGGGTCACCTGATCCGCAGCTCAAGTAGCTCTCAGTCAGGAGGAGGCCTTTTGGCACAGCGGAGGAACTTTGCCTTCAGTAGCAGAGGAGGCAACACATGAGCCGATTTCAAAGGGTTGGTTATTGTTTGCCCAGTGCATGAACCAAAGGAGGATGTGATTAGTGGAGGGAAGATGATGTGCAAATATGTGGACCGTTAGTTGGAACTGAAGTAATTCAGGACATCTAGAGTACGAAGGCCAGGTGGACTGATGGGAAATGATGGGACAGGATGAGCATCAAGAGAAGATAAAGAAATGTTAGCTAGGAGATAGCACGTAGCTTGGTCTTGCTCTTAGAGGTAGTAGAGAACCCCTGAAAAAATGTTTAGGAGAGGTGAGGTTTTTAAAGGGATGGGAACCAGAGAGGGAGGAAAATGGGGCAATAGTCAGGAAGCAAAAAGAGAAGTTTCTATATGAGATCAGAGGCACAGCAGGGTCTGAACTCAGCTGCGTCTTTTGTAGCTCTGTCTCCCCTTCATGGCCCTACAATTCAACACAATTCTGAGATCATCTACCTAGAGCCTCCACAGCTTAAGAGTTCTGTCCCTGACCTCCCCCAAGGCCCAGCACACACTTCAGATGCGAGACACACCCTCAGGGAGTTGTCTGTGCTGCTCACCCACCGGCTATAAAGAGATCCTCGTAGCCCTTCTTGGGTTCAATTAATTTGCTAGACTGGCTCACAGAACTCAGAGAAACATGTTATTTACTGAATTTCCAGTTCCTTAGTGAAGGGTCCAGAGAACATCTGGCTGAAGAGCTGCATAGGGCAGGGCATCAGGAAAGGGGATGCCCTTCCATGCCCTCTCCAAGGGCACTGTTCTCCCCAGTCTCCAAGTCTCCACCAGCCTGGAAGTTCTCCAAACCCCATCTATTTTTAGGTTCTTATAGAGGCTTCATTTTGCAGTCATGATTGATTAAATCATTGCTTTGTGGTGATAATTCCGACCTCCAGCCCCTCTCTCCTCCCTGGAGGACGGAGCAAGGAACTGAGAATCCCAACCCTGTCGTCAGGTGATTGGCTCAGGCAAGCAGCCCCCATTTTGAGGTGCTTTCTAAAAGTCACCTCATTAACATCCCCAAGGGTTTGGGGAGCTGTAAACCAGGAACTGTGGATGAAGACCAAATTCTACCAGCTGATAAATTGCAATTCTGAAATACCTCACTGAGCTTCAGAGAGAACTAGGCCCAGATGCTTTCTTTCTCCATAGCAAAATAACTCTGTATGAGTAACACACACACACACACACACACACACACACACACACACACTCCTTCATATTCTTCCTAATTCTAACCATTCTTTATGGTATTCAGGACAATTCAAACCATGGGCTGAAGTTTTACCATAGAAGAATCTAAAAAGAGAAAAAGTGTTCCTTGAGCTGCCTTTGGGACGTGACTAGTAGCATTCCAGTAACTCACCACGCTCCCTTGTCATCAGACTCCCCTATGGAGTTCTTCAAAAAAGTTTTGACCCTAGGTCCTACCATGGACCTATGAAACTAGGATATTCTGAATTTCCTCAGAGCTGGAAGCCCAAGACATGGAGTTGGCTAAAGAGCAAGAGGACACTGACACATGTGTTGTCCATGGCTGCGCTGGGAGACACAACCCCACACCTCTGGCTCCCCCTTTTGGTGGGGCTGGACCCCTCTGGACCCCACTGGACATGCAGTCAGTGTCCAGGTCCAGACACCAGCGCAGACACTCAGGAGGATGAGCCCCACCACTCTCTGGGGGGCGTCCTGAGGGGCGAGGGCGCTCAGAAGCCAGTGGGGTGTGGTGTTTGCAATGACAGAATATAGAAAAGTCCTGAAGTATTCAAGAGCAGGGACTACTTTGGTGGAAAACAAGAAAGAAAAGGCTTTTGAGGGGAGGCAGCCTCCAGGCAAGAGCTATGGGATGGGGGAGAATTTTCCAAGCGGACGACGGAGTCAAGCCCATGCGGACAGAGCTGGCGGCTGGCAGGGGAGGCCGCAGGGAGGGATGCCTTTGGGGAAGAGGAGGGAGCAGGCGCGAGGATGGTGGGACTCCGGGCAGACCAAGGATGCCCAAGTCCTGGGAGGCAGGGCCCCGTGGGTGAGGAGGGAGAGGCCGGCGGGCGTCTCGGAGGTCTCAGGCCAGGCCGTGGGGTGGCCCTGGGCTGCTGTCAGCGCACAGCGGGGCTCGCCGTCCCTCTTGTGCTGTTTCAAATACATCAGTTCAGCCGCTGAGATGTTCCCGGTGTGTCCAGGCCGGAAGAGAGGCTGTGAGATGAGTGTTTCTGTCTTCTGTTTGCTCTTTGTAAAACGGCTCACAAACGTCTTTTGGCGCCCAGCTCCCTGTCTCTCTGGTCTTCCCCAGCAGGGCCCCTCCGACTCCCTTGCCCCTGCCAACACGCCCCCCGGGCCCCAGCCAGCTCCCTGGGTTCTGAGAAGATCCCTTGGGCTTGAAGCAATCTCCCAGCCAGGCCTTGGACCAAGAGCACCAGCCCAGCGAGGAAGGGGGAATAAACTGCCAGAAGTTTTAGGGTTAGTCAGACCATAGGAAGATTCAGACTGAGCCCCAGTTCCAGAGAAAATGCTCCGTGTGAGCTGAAGTGCCCTCTGCCCCCCAATCCCCCAGCTTGCACCTCCGATGAGTGAGAGGGAGAAGCGCCACCTGGCCTCCTCATGTCGGCCTCCAGCCCTGCCTGGGTGCGCAGACATGGGCCTGGGAAGGTGGCAATGAGTCCAGAGCCAACTCTCTCCCCTGCAGTGGCTCAAGGTCTGGGCTGGAGGTGTAGACTGGTGGGAAAGGATGGTGCCAACAGGTGGCGATGGTGCCCGCGTGGGACTGTCACGGTGACCGTGGACTATTAACGTGCTGCGGCCCTCACAGGTGCTCACCCCCAGGAGCAGCAAAGGCACAGAAATGCGCCATCTGCAGCGCAGAATGGACGGCACCTCCTCTTCCTCGAGCTGGAAGGGTGGAGGAGACGTGTTGACAGGAGTAGACCTGAGGGCTCCAGCTCTGGGCCTGGAACTTGGTCCTGAGGCGTTATCCACACCTGTACAGCTCAGGGCCCAGCTGCTTCTGTCGCTGTCGTCCTCATACCCCAGCAACCACCACAGGGAGCGATCACTTTTATTAATTTAATTTAAAATTAATTCTTAGGGATTTTCAATATCTTTGAATTTAATTTTCCTCCGTTGAAATATGGAAGTAGAAAACACCTACCACATTCTGGTGAGGATGACCTGATGAAGTGCCTTGGGAGCTCTGAGGGTGCCTACCACTTACAGGGGGCAACTTGCAAACACGCGCCGGCTGGTATCTCTCTTTCACCTTCTCATGGCCCTGTATCCCTCTGGGATTGATCTAAAATAGACAATCAGGTTTTTCATTACAGGGCAGTTGACCATCAGAGTATCTCCGGGGAAAGAATTATGAGACAGTTTAATATAATATTTTGTGTACCGGTAAATAACTGACATTTATTTGCAAGGTAATTGACTGAGAAACTACCTTCTACTTTAATCTCCCCACGGTAATGATCTAAGAACTGCACTCAGCAGAGACTCGGGACATTTTTATTGATTGGATGACATAAGAGTTATTTGCAACTTTCACTCTGTTAATTTTAGAATTGGGATTTTCAAGTCAATGAGGTTGCAAGTATCAGGTGAGCTGAGCAAGATCAGTGAGCAGGAATTAATAGGACCCACTCCCAATGTCTAGACCCACTCCCAATGGTGTTGCTCTTCTTTGCAAAATATTTTAAGATATTTCTTCTGACTGCAAGGATTTGGGGAGCAAACCTGTGTGTGAGAGAGATTAAAGAGTTCAATCATTTCCGCAAAGTGTTCATATTTAGAAAGGCATGAAAATTTCAGAATCACTCAGGATCACCATGTTGACGATGAAAACTGCAAGTTATTAGGAGTTATTGAAGGGAGGGAGGCAACTAATTGCGCTTTTAGGAAGATGAATTGGAGCCAAGAGGAAAGACAAGCACCCGGGAGATAAGGGTTATCATTCAGGTTGTGGTGGATGCAGTTTGTGGATGGAAACCGAGATAATGAAACTGAAAGCTTTGTGAATGTATTGGAGAGAGAAGCAAAGTATGGTGTGGCCAGAGATGATTCCCAAGATTTGAGACTAAAAGAACATTTACGGCTAGGAGGGATTTAGTAAAGAGGGGTTTGGGAAGGGAAGGATGAGGAAGCCAAAGTGGAGCTGTGTTTATGTTTTATGAAGTGGGGGCAGGAAAACAGGCATGCATTTCAATGGCTGGAGATCAGTTTCCACTTTCAGTCAGAAATATGGAATAGGGGTAGAACAAGCAGGTAGGGCAGGTATATGAGATGCTCACCAGAACCCTAAAAACATATCTTCCCAAGAATTAAAGACAAAACACGTGACAAGAGCCTGAGGACTGGGCCATACCCACTTATAGGACAGAGAAGAAACACACTCTGCAGTAGCAAATAGGATGGAGAGGTCTTATTCGCCAGGCAAAAGGATTAAGAGAGTCTTTGATCACAGAGAAGCAATCAAGATAAAGAGACAGTCAAGAAGCAGAGGTGGCCAGTGGACAGCAGAATTGACAAGAGTTGTAGAGACCAAGGAGAGACACACCTGCACACAGCTAGTCCCTCTCACTGCTGAGACTCCTTCATGCCACCGTCACGTTCATAAAGGCAGTTCAGTTGACAAGGGACATTGATACCAAACACCTATCAGGAGGAGTCTTTAAAAGGAAGTGAAAGAGGGCCTCCCTGGTGGTGCAAGGGATTAAGTACAGCTCTGTGGAGCTATCCACAGCAACACTGCAGCAGGAGTTCATCCCCGGCCGGCCATGGAGGTACCACATGGCACAGCAGACCTCTGCTGCTCCCCTCAAGAGTGTATTTCAGCCAATCCACCTATTCTGTGCCTCACTCTATCTCTGGTGAATCCTCTCAGCCCCCACACCTCTGGCCTATACCCCAACTCTTGTATGTATAAATAAATCTTTAAAAAAATTGTTTTAAGTAAAAGGAAGTGAAAAAGCAGTTGTAGAACATTTACCTGAAGTTGGGCTGTGAAGGGAAAGAGTCATGCAAAAGTAGTAGACATGTAAAAATTCATCTCAGGACTAGGAAAAAATAGCCTATATAAAAAATATATATATATATAAATACTTGGAGATATTAAACTGAGAAGTAGAGGAAAAATCCCCGCAAGGCAGAATGCAGGCTCGAGACAACTGGTAAACTAGACCCTGCATGAGATCAGTGGCAGAGAGAAGAGGTAAGTGGGTGTAGAAGAACATCATGTAATTTTACCTTTGAAAATGCCTCGCAGCTTGAAGGGTCTATGAACACGGTTTTTCATTTAGATGTTTTTCTTTAGGTCATTAAGCCTTCACAGAAATTCTGTGAGGAAAGTATTATTATTCCCATCTCACATTCTGTAAATGAATTCTCAGATCACGTAAGTAATTTACTCAAGAACTCACACTTGAGTAGAGAGGGTAGGGTTAGACCAAAATTTCAGTTCTCTTCATCTTAAGATCTTTGGCAAAGGCCAAGCCTCCTCTTCTCTCATCACCTATGTCTGCACTTATGTTGGCAGATGAATCAAAGACGAGAATGTTGCTGTTGGACAGTCTCAGGCCGGTAAACAGTACATATGTGTGTGTGGTGTGATAGGGGGTGGGGACTGAACTGTGTCCCCCCAAAAGACATGTCAAAGCCTTAACCTTTGTACCTGAGAATGTGAACTTCTTTGGAAATAGAATCTTTAAGTGTAATTAAAATGCCAGTTAAATTAGGTCATAGTAGAGTAGATGCCCTTCATCTATGGTAACTGGTATCCTCAGAAGAGACAGAGTGACGGACAGCCAGGGAGAAGACAGGCATGTGATGAGGGAGACAGAGCCTGGAGTACGTGATGCCTCTACAAACCAAGGATTGTCAGTAAACACCAGACACTAGGAAGGCAAGGAATAGCGTTCCCTACTGGTGTCTGAGGGACCATTGCCCTCCTGGCAGTTTGATTTCCAAATTCTAGCCCCCAGAAATGTGAGACAATTAACTTTGCTTGTTTTAAGGCCCCTAGTTTATGATGTGTTGTTATGCAGCCCTGGGAAACTAACTTGAAGGGATATCATATTAATAGGATGTGAAAACTTGAGCAGGAAAAGGTGTGTATGACTAAGGTGTAGAGTAAATGTGGGGATTCACCGAGGAGTCAAGACAGTCCCAGAGTCAGAACTTGCACTGGACCAACACTAGTGTTTGTCACCTCTGCCACACTGCCCCAGATCTTCTCGGCCTGCTCATCTCCAGAGACCTTCATTACTTGTTTTACCCTTTTGTTGCTTCTGCAGCAATCGTGCATGGGTTCCAAGCAATGTCACAGGGCATGTCCCACTGGCACTGTGACTCATGCCCATATTGCTCACCTCTTCCCCCTGAAGAACCTCCCAATAATCCAGAACCTCCCAATAATCCCTAAGATGTTTGAGCACAGGACTGGTCAGTGTCCACATGTACACAAACCAAATGTGCAAGGCATTTAATGCCACATAGGATGGATCTATAACTAATAGGGAATGAACATCAGTGAATATTTTTCTCTCCTTTCCTATTGCTGGATTGATTTCCTAATGATGCAACAGCTTCATAATACTTTCCAGTACTCTTGGGAGATAAGAACCTCCAAAATTTGAGCAGGTGGTTACTCTTGTCCACCAGTCGTGGCCGCCATGGAGATATGCCTCAGTATGTCTTTCTATCCTTCTCTGTCTCCTTCCCCATCCCCTTATTTTACTCTTGCTTCACTGATGTATCTCTTTTCAATATTCGTAGCACATAAACATTTGCCTTTCTGGAAAATTCAGGTTAAGATAATTGTACCAGGATGGGATTTTGTTAATATGTATAGTGCAATGGCATCATTGGCTCTTTGGTCCTCACCTGTGCATACCTGGGATAAGGTGCAGGTGGAAGGTGATCATAGGATATGTGGTGGCTATGGTGATGGAGCAAAATGGACGCAATTATAATTGTAATGACTGTAGAGTATCATGGCTTCTTTTAACAACACTGGTAGCCTTGACAACAGAAAATCACTGCTCAGGGCAGTCAACTGCTAGCTTAAGTTACGCTATGAAACCTGGAGTGCCTTTCTAATAGCTTTTAATGAGACTCTCATCTTCTATAACCATAAGTCATATAGTACTGAAAATTAGGCACTACGTCTACTATAGGAATAGCAGCTATAAATGAACTTGAATGTTTCCCTTCAATAAGTGACCTATGAAAATTGGGCCTTTAATAGAAGAAGAGTGGAACACTGAAATCTAAGAAATAGACATTTGAATGGATGTGCCTCAGAATCTTTAATCTTTAAATTCCACTGAACTCTTCAGGTCAGCAGAGGGTAACTCCTCTCCCACTTCCTGCAAGAGAACAGCCTTGTCTTCCCTGGAGACTTGCAATCTCCTCCTTTGAGAAGAAGATGCTTATTCTCCTTAAAATGCCCCCGCCCACCGTTGCTAATGTGTTTGGCCAAGAACTAAGACATATGTATGGGAATGCATCTTTAATAGATGATATTGGGGTACAGACAACTTTAAGAGTGAATAGGGGAGAATTCATTGACATAGGATCACTCACCTGCGACTCTATGTTTAATGTCCTGTTAAAGATACCTTAAGCAGATTCTAAAAGGCTGCCCTATGAACCAGAGAATTAGGAATGGAGGATAATAATTTCAAATAGATAAAGGGCTACTACAAAAGCTTACAGCTAACATCATACTAAATAACAAAAGACAAAATTCTTTGCCTTAAAATTGGGAATATTCCAAGAATGTCATCTATCAACATTACTATTTAACATAATACAGAAGCCCTAGTAGCACAATAAGGCAAGAAAGGAAATAGATTAGAAAGGAAGAAATCAATTTCTCCCAATTTGCAAATGACATGATTGTCTATATAGAAAAATCTACATAATCTAGCACATGCAACAAAAAGCAAACAACAGAAAAACAACAGAAAACAATCCCTCCATATCAAGGACTCCTAAGTAAGGTCAACCAAATTGCAAAAACAAACCAAGGTCATGACACAAACATTTACTAAAAGTAAACAGGCTGAAAATGAAATTAAAAATGTGGTACCATTTCTAATTCTCACAATAAAATATCTAGATAGAAACTTAACAAAATATGCACAAAACCTGTGTGGTGAAAATTGCAAAATATTGAGGACAGAAATCTAAGATCTGAATAAATTGAAAGATATACCATATTCATGAATTAGAAGACAATTCCAGTTATAAAGTTGACAATTCTCCCCAAATTGATCTATGGATTTAATGAATCTC